TAAATTTGTCCATGGTTGAGTTTCTTTGAATGAACAGAACTGTAGAACTAGAAAGGTTGCAGATCATTTCAATGTACTTAAAAACATGTTTTCTGAATAAATGTAATTTTTAAAAATAAATATTGGCAGCACAAGTTTCTGTTTATGCCAAAGGAAAATAAACTGATTAAATTATTACTGCTGTTCGGGTCACAGTTTAAGAATTAACTTAAAACCATGGCATCAGCAGGTGGGGCTGACTTCAAAATAGCAGGTGTGACTATGCAATTGAAATCCCACCCTCTTTTACATGTGAACTACAGGTGCCACATGTTAAAAGGAGCAAGGCTTTGATTGCCTGTTCATGTCTGCTATTTTAATATTGTCGATCCTCTCTGCAGATGCTCCTGCATATAACAGTTTTTTACAGGTTGGGGTCTTGAATTTACTGGTTTTCATGCTTTTAGTTGCTAAATTGATTTTTCTTTAAATATTTGTAGTTTGGCTTAAAGGACCCTGGATTTGAAATAATGTAAATTGGATAAATTATTGTTCTTTTTGTTATTTTAATGTCCTTTCTAATTTCCTCAACTATGACTTTTTTCTTAAATAAAGAAAAAAGACCCTACCCAGATCTTTATCCAAATATTGAATGTACTATTCATTAAAATATATGCCTACAAAAGTACCATGGGCGCCAAAAAAGTGCCTCATACAATGGGGCATTAAAAACGAAGCAAGAGGACTTCCGGTTGGTGGCTCGTGGCGACATGGTGGCAGGAGAGTGATCTCTGCTCCCCTGCCCCATTTTTTCACTGTGTTCTGGGGGATCCCGAGAGGCGCAAAGCCCCGAGAGCTTTGCGAACAAGAGAGAGAGTCAGGCAAGCGGGAAAGCGCAGGGCAAGCGCTTCTCACCTGACAGACGCCTCTGTTGATCTCAACAAATATTATTATTTTTACAAGGCAGTGAACATACCCAACATAACTTTGTTCTTCTATTTTACCCACAAGAACAACCCTGTGAGGTGGGTTGGGCTGAGAGAGAGTGACTGCCAAAACTCAATCAACAGGCTTTCATGGATAAGGTGGGACTTGCATTTATAGTCTCCTGCTTTCTAGCCTGGTGCCTTAACCATTAGACCAAACTGGGTCTCATGTATAAATCCTTTCTATATCTTTATAAAATCCATGTATTTCGTAACGTATGGAAGAGAGCTAGTTTGGTGCAGTGATTAAGACATTAGTCTAGAAACAGGGAGACTGTGAGTTCTAGTCCCGTCTTAGGCACTAAGGCAGCTGGGTGAACGTGGGCCAGTCGTTTTCTTTCTCGGTCCCAGAAAGCAGGCAAGGCAGGGCACCTTCAAAAAAACCTTGCCAAGAAAACTGCAGGGATAAGTCCAGGTATTGCCAGGAGTCAAAATTGACTCGAAGATTCACTCAAACGCATTTTGTAACATACAGTCCTGGTAAAGACATGTCATGAATGAGAGGTCTTTGGGTGCCCTGCTACTCAATGTGGTGACAAGGAAGTTTAAGTTCTGCCCGTCTCTATGATACTTCAGTGATAGTATAATACAGTGGTGAGATTCAAACTTTTTTACTACCGGTTCTGTGGGCCTGGCTTGGCGGGCATGGCATGGCATGATGGGCGTGGCCTGGTAGGTGTGGCAGAGGAAGGATACTGTCAAATCTCTATTCCCTCCCCACTCCAGGGGAAGATTACTACAAAATCCCCATTTCCTCCCTAACAGCTGGGACTCAGGAGGCAGAGAATAGATGGGGGCGGGGCCAGTCAGAGGTGATATTTACTGGTTCTCTGAACTACTCAAAATTTCCGCTACCGGTTCTCCAGAACTGGTCAGAACCTGCTGAATACCACCTCTGGTATAATATCTAGGAAATGTCAGATCAAAAGACGATGGTATTCTTAAAGGTAGAAGGAAAATCTGAGGATGAGAAGGAAAAGCTCTTGTTTGATCTTTTTTACAATGGTATTTGAATCAAATTCCAAATATCCCTCTTTTACACCAAAGAGGTGATGCTATGGATGTGCATGAGAGTCTTCTGACCTCTGCTTTACTATTCACATCACCTCTCTGCTGCGAGCGAGGGAATCAGATGACTTTTCAAATATTTTCTTTTAGAAGTTTTCCAAGCCATAACATGACAGATCCATCACCACTGCTCTCTTAGGATTTGCAGTGTTGACTTCCTGCTTCGTCTGACCCGAAAGAAAACTGGGTTACGTGCTATCCCAACTTGGATTGATGGAGGATAGAGTGATGGAGGCAAGCTTAAAGAGGGACAGGAATACATTTAAAAGAGAGGAAAGGAATGGAAAAGAAAACAGTGCTTAAAGCCACCCCTGCTGTGTACTCAGCATGTGGTTCTGAGCCATTCACTTGTTGGTTTGCCTTCCATACAATGGATGATATAGCAGCAAATATAGGTTTGAAGGAATGCTTTGATGTTCAAGATCCTTGTTGTGTAGTATTCAGTTTTGACTTTTGAGTAAGCCGCTTATATTCTCACACCTGCTCTTGGAAGTAGATGCTGTAGCTAGCCAAAGCCATCAAGGAAGTTTAGAAGAGATGTCCAGACAATAAAATACTATTGCAGTTTGTCTTCCTCATCCAGTATTCAGAAGTACAGTGTGCCGTTTTCACATTTAGCTATCATGACTCATACCTAGCTATAGACTATTCTTTTTAATCTTTTTAATCCATATCAAAAGAAATTGTATATAACATGTCAAGTGAATGAGAGGAGGAAAGAAAGATTTACCTACAATTTTCAGTCTAAGATTCTTCCAAATTTATGATGAGAATGAGAATCAAAATTAAACTTTTTTTCCCCAACAGCTGGCAGCTTTAAATATTGAAAATACAACTGCCAAAGTATCAGACAATTGAAAGTTATTCTTTAAATTATGCCCATTGCTTTGGAATTTTATTGCATGTATTCAGCAGAAAAGTAGAAGTAAAAATGTGGTGATACAGCTGAAAATCAGGAAACCAAGAACAGCATACGGTAGATATAGAAAATCTTGGAGATATATACATACATAATTCATACTTATAAAATCATCTTAAAGCAATAATGTATGTATGAATTCCATACTCTTCAGTTCAACTGGTTTATAATATATACAATGAAGTATAATAATGCAATAATGTAGTTATGATAATAAAAGTTATCAATTTTCATATCTATCCTCTGAAGCTCATTGGCATTTTAACCATCTATTCATGTCAATATTAATTTTATCGCCAACTATGAATGTTCTGTAGCAATTATTAGGTTATTCAGTTAATTGGAGTTATTCTCATATACTTCCCATAGACAATACTATAATATACCTAAGAAAATTAATAAAAATGGTGTTTCATTTGCTGTTTGGATTAATTATTCAGGAAAAATGCATGTTTGATTTAAATATTTAAAACTATTTATTTCAGGGCACCCCTAGACATGGTTACTAAAGAGTAAATCCAATTAAGGAACGGGATTTACTTCCAGCCAGGTTTTTCTCATTAGCTTGTTATACTTGGATCTAATAGAAATTGAACTCCAATAACATTTGGTGGATACTAGATTACCATTTCTGGACTAGGATTACACTCTGTGAAGTTTCTGTACACACATCATGTGCTCTTTGAATAGGTGAACATAAAACTGCAGTATCAGATTACACCATCTGTGTTTGCCATTGTTGTATATGCTACTCTTTAATCTATTTCTAACAATGCAGCATCCCCAGAGAGGGCAAAGGTGGTTCAGAATGATGAAAGCAGCTTCACAATATTGCAGTGCAAGCCCTGACCCTTTTGTATTTCTGTTGTGCCATCACATGGGTGCCCCAAGGGGCGGGGCTTATTACACAGGGGCATGACACTTTTGTAGATACTGCTTAATCAGTATCAAGATGAGGTTAGGTAACAACAGAGGTTAGAGGGAAAAAGTGTTTCTTTCTGCAGTTTCAACATGCAATGCCATTCAGAAAGGATGAGGGTGACACAAAGTCTGAAAATACCTTCCTCACAGCAGTTTCTTTTGAAGGCGTTCAATACTATGGCTCCTTGCATTAAAAACATGGATGAGAGCATTAGATACCAAAAGATAACACTGGCCTTGGAATTATTAAAGATGTCCAAAGCCATCTTGACCATCATAGCAAAATCAGCCATGGATAACATAATAAAGATACATTTATTGTGCATATTGCTTCAAGAAATTTCAACATTTGAACCCCCACAAATATGCCCAGGATTTTTTTTTTTTTTAATGCCCACTGACTTTTACAGAAAGCACTCAGTGAATATTAAGCAAAGCTCTTCTATTTCCTTGTATCATTGCCTACAGCTTGCACTCTGTCCCCTATAATATGGAGTGACTTTTAAAAACCTTCAATAAAGGTCATCCTGTTTACACTGAATATACAATTCCCCTGTAAATTTGAAACATATTTTACTTTCTATTGCTCTCTTCCATATAGAATAAGGTTGGATTCCATGAGACATTTCCTGAAATTGTGCAAACATTTAATATAGGATGGCTTTAAATGATGTTGGTACCAATTAAATACTATAAGGCAATTGGCTTCAAACATATGACCCCACAATAATTTACTCCGTGTGACCTCTAAGCCTTATCATTATTGGACAAATGCAGCTTGTAAATTACAGAGTGGTTGAGGGATGTTTTAAACATACACTCAACCATGTGTTATCACTTAGTTTGCCTTTATCAGTCCAGTGTGCCACTCAAACATCATATACATGCTAGTTTGCTCAAAGGTTACTGGGATATCATTCAAAAGAGAGGGAGATCAGTAAGAGGTAACCTGTTAGAGGTAACCTGTTTACTGTGTCACTTGGGGCACGTTTACATACACTACCATACAAGGTATACTAAGCCACGTTTAACATGTTGTATGATCAGGGTGATTTCCAAGCTGCTGTACAATGTAATAATATTCAGCTTCATCTTGAATTTGAATGATTAAAGAAAAATACAAAATCCACAGTACCAATAACTTTTATTCAGACTGGCAAAATGGTGCATAGTTGTTTTGAGTTCTTTAGAACTTTTCGTCTGGCAAAGGAAGAAGGAAAAGGAGAGTAAGTGTTTTATGCTGACATTATACGATTTGACTTTAATCATACCTGTAATTTTAAAATAGAAGACACAGGCTGAACCCTATGAGAAATTATGTAGGCCTGACATGGTCTCTAGGGCTATAGTAAACTCCATAACTGAAATAAGTAGTAAACATTTCTACCTCTAAAGAAAGGAATAAAAACTAATGGTAATTTGCCTTGAAATGAGTCATGCTGGGCTATAGGATACATCTAGTGGCAAATATTGTATTGGTAAATTTGGAAGGAAAATGTTTTGTAGATAAATGCAGTTACTTAGTACTTTCTGCATCCGTTTTGACTTGCCCTGCACACATAATCTATTTCCACTGAATATAACAGAGTATTGTGGAAAAATACATATTGCATTTGTTTCCATGTTTGTACTGGTAAAATTTAAATCATGTTACTTTTAAAAAAAAACTTTTTATTGCTTTAAACTAGGACCTGAAAGCCCACTTATCCAAAGCTCCCATTACCATGAAAGCAATAACATACACACAATAAAAGTTAAAATGTTCAAAAGTTTGACATCTTTCAAAGATAATTTTCTGCCCTTACCAAATTTAGCAAATTTGGTAAGGGCAGAAAATTTGGTAAGGTTGACAATTTCAACTTCCAAAGAATACTTATTTGAAAGGTACTTTGGGTATTTTCAAAGAGCTACATACAAACCTGAATTAAATGAAATATTGTGGTCAAATAACTTCTTGAAAAATATAGCATATATGATATATTATCCACCGCTCATAATACATTCATTCTATAGTGCTACTTATTGGACAGCACACTACAATTTTATAAATCTGTTTCTAGTTTTGTCAAATATATCTATCATACATTTGACAAGGAAGCTCGTTTAATAAAAATATTTTTAAAGGATGAAAAGTGCTACCCTACAATTCCAAGTTAATTCAAATTCCTGTGGAACTTTTACAACAGAACTGTACTACATCTTTTGACTTGGGCCATTTTGAATATAAATGCTATGGCAGCTACTTATTCCACCCAATAACTTCATACATTAGAGCCCTCAGCTGCCTAGCTTCATAAGTAACCGTGTTCTTCCCACTGTGCATCTTCTCTTCCTCAAGTGGTTGTTCTATTACTGCTGGGATATTTCGGCCATATACTTCACAGTGCTCAAGAAACTGGATGCATTCTTGAATGACACTGTCACGCACCATGATCACATGCTTACACATATTTTCTAGAAGTGACAAGAAACACCTTTTGGCATAATACCAAGTATCTGTGCCCAGCTTTTTGTTATATGGTTCTAAACTCTTAATCACTCTAGAAATGCCAAAATCAAAATTTCCTTTGGCACAGTAAAGAGTCCCAATAACTAGATTGACAATACAGAGATGGTAGATCTTTTTCTCAGGTTCATGGTAAGAAAGCTGTTCCTCTTCTTTTTCTATTTTTCTCATCAGCTCCTCTGCTTCTTCATTCTGACTAGTCATAATATAAGAAACACATAGGTTAGCCAAAACAATGGCACTAACGTGAAGGATGTTGTCATAGTGTTTTTTTACAATGGGCTCATAAAAACCAATTGCTTCTTTGTATTTGTTCTCTTGCATGAATAGTACATGTGCCACATTCAGTTTCCACACTTCGTGATCTTTGCAGAAGTCTACTGACTTATGGAACATTTTTTCCAGCATGGGATAGTTCTCCATGTCCCAATAAATCTTGGCCTGGGCCATAAAGACAGGAACATATTTCTCAAGTGTCTCATCATACTCATTCACAGCTTTCCTTAGAGCGTCATCATCTCGATTTTTCCTAGATTCCTGCACCTCCTTGGTCAGTTTTCTGAGCTGCTCTGTTAGGGCCCCTGCCAGTTCATCAAGCTTATGAAATGCCTCATCGGGGGCCGTTTGGCAGGTGATCATAGCATCCAAGTAGTTGTACAAATAAGGAGTGAGAAGTTTGTACGTCAAGTGAGCATTCTCAGCAAGCACATCCGCAGCCAGATCATAGTACTGATACTTGCAGTACAGAAGCAGCAAATTCCCAAATGTCTCTGGCGGGCAAGGGTTCTGCTGCAGAAGGAACTGAAGTTTCTCAAAGCCTTCTGTGGCTCTCCTGTCCATGTTCATCAGAGCCTGGTTGTGCAAAGTGACCGGGTCCAACTCCTCCTCAGACCGAGGGGGCATATCCGTTAGGGCCTCCTGAGCTGCCTGCAGGTTGCACAGCTGGTACTCAATGGCAGCTTTGAGATTGAAGGCCTCCACCAGGGCCGTCCGATGCAAGAGCAACGTATTGCCCACACTGCGGACGTCGAGGCCTTCCGTATTGGTCCCCACGCTCAGCTCCGGGTGCTGCTGCATGCCCCGCTCAATGATGTCGGCAATATGCTTCAGAGCAGGGGCGTATTGCTTGGCAGCGTAGCAGCACAGGGCCATGTTGTAGGACAGCTCAGGGCAGTAGCCCAGCACTTGCATGGCAGAGGCGAACTTGCCACAGGCCTCCTCGTGCTGCCCTTCGCGGTAGAGCAGGCAGCCCATGTTCACCTCCGCATCGGGCAGCTCGGAAGGGTCCTCGGGGGCGCCGGGGCTGCCTTCTGTGGCGGCTGCCAGCTGCAGCTCCACCAGGGCCTTGGCGCTGGAGAGGTCGCCCTGGGCGTAGTGGGCCGCCGCTTGGAGGCGCAGGGCTCGGCTCTGGAACGGCGCCACGTCGAGCAGCGGGACGGCGACGCGCAGGGCCTCGCTGTATAGCCCGGCCTTGTAGAGCGCCTGCGCGTGATACAGCCGGTACTCGTGGAGCTCGGGGTGCAGGAGCCCCAGCTGCTCGTAGCACTCGGCCGCCGCCGCGAAATCCTGCAGCTGGTAGTAGCAGTAGCCGAGCAGCGACAGGCCGGCCCGCGACCGGCAGCTCCTCTGCAACTCGCTACTCAAGATCCCCACCGCCTCCGCAAACCGCCCGGCTCGGATCAGCCCGTAAATAGCCGCCGTGAACTCCCCGTCGGCGATAGAGGCCATGCCGGTGGCCATCCTGACCGAGCCTCCGCAGGCCTGTAAACAGCGTTGCCTAGGCAACACGCCGCCACCGGAAGCGGAAGGCGACCGAGAGCCCGCGACCCGCAACTGCCCCCAATTGTAAAAGTGGCGGTGGTGATCGCCCTGGGGAAATGAGCCGGTCCGTATTTGGTTTCTCGTTGGGTCGCTGCGACCCTGGAAAGAGGGTGGGAAAGAGGGAACGAGATGGGAAAGAGACGAGGACCCCAAAAGGATTGACCATGCGGACCACATCGCCAGCCAGTCGCGCGGCTCTCTTTTTTTTTCCCCTTGCCGCGATGCATTGTGGGGGATGTAGTTCTCGTCTGGAACTTGGGCGTCCGGCTGTTGCCGCGCGTTCCAGGTCAGGGGCGTGGCCGGCTGCCTAGAATGGCTAAGCGGGTTTTCGCAGGCTTAGGCGAGTTGCGTTTTTTTTTTTCCTTCGAAGGTTTCAAGCCAAATTCGCCGTTTCCGAAATCTCGAAGGGGAACGGACTGCAAAGGGAATCAAGTCCCTGTACTTTCAATTGCTGGTTGGAGCAAAGGATTTTGGCGCTAGCGAAGTTGATGCCGCAAGGATTCTTTGTCCCTCGGATGCCGTTTCTATACTGCTCAATGACCGTCACATCCCTCTAGAACAAAGACGTGCTCTTTCCCCCACTTTTAAAACGAATAGTGATTCAACTTTAAGGTTATCTTGTAAGAACAATTATCTTTCCTCTAAAGAATATGCAGTGGCATATTCAAATGTATAATTATTTTTTCCCCATATAATTCAACTCCCTCTTTTATTATAATTGGCACGTCTTTTTTATTCTGATTTAAATTAAAAACATGCTAATTCGGTTTGCAGGTTGGGTAGGATGTGGAAAGAGAACCCAATCTTCTGTTGCTCATTTATACAATTTCTTTTTTTTTTTGTATTTGCACAAACGAGGGTTATGATAAGACTACCGATGCTTTCTTTAAAATTTGAACCATAAAACTCAAAAAATGATCTTGAATCAAATACTACCTCTAATTTTGCAGTATTTTTGAAAAAGATAAAATGTATGATAGCTTCTGCCTTTATGAAATACAAATGGACAGAATACAAATTAATTGATAGAAATAATAGTGAATTGTTAATGAAATCTTACAAACTTCCACAGAAATTATATACAAATATTTAGAAAGCTTTTCATTTTTACAATGTATAAATCATTAAAGCATTTATCTAGTTATATTAATATCAACTTTTTGATGTATACTTATTTTTATCAGACACTTGTTGAATATTTTTTTAGTGAACCATAACCAAGGATGTATTGCAACCTAGCAACCTCTCATTTTCTTGTTCTGGTAATAGTAATAATGAATGCTTAGTAGGTTTGGCTGATAATTTCCTTTTTATGGCCAAATAAGTATTTATGGGCTGCATTGGGGTAGTGTCAGAATATATGTCAACAATTGTTCAGGCAACTCTCCTATAGGATTTTTTGAATAAAATTGCAAAAATTGTTTTAAAAGTTAAATTTTGTCCACCTCTGTATTTAGAAGTCATTATGGTACATTGTCAATAATAAAAGTGTTTTAAACATTAGTGCCCATGTCTAATGTAAAACACAGTGCAATTCAACCTTCCCCATTTGGGGTTTTCCAGATGTGACCTAGATTTCCCTCATAGTAAAATTTCACGTGCATCATTTTATGGCCAACAATTTATGGATTCATTTGGGGGGAAAACTCTTTAGTGTAAATTGGGGTTCAAATTTCTGAAATGGTTTTTATTTTCTCATGCCATTGTTGTGCTTCCCACAACAGTTTTACAGGAATCCAAAGAAAGGCTATTTCCATCAGAAAGTCTCCATTAGAAACCCAAAGCATTCTGTTTAGGAAAAAAATACAAAATATTACAGAATGTGTTGGGGTAAGTAATGCTAGGAGCTACTTACCTAGAAGTATTCCCCAGAACTGAACTGAAGCAATAGGAGATTCTTTACTTTTATGAGATTAAGAGGAGCTTTGAGCTTTTAAAAGTAGATTCTGCAAGGACCACTGGACAATTTACCATCACCTCCATATCCATGTCACGGTAGTTTGTTTAAATTTTTGAGCAGGAGGAGATGCTTCTCTATGTCTAAATGTGTTAATGGTCAGGAGAAGTTGTGTTGGAATTGGGGGAAGGGAATGGAGATACTGGGGAGCATTGGAACCACAATATTAGTCAGCAAGTTTTTGAATTTTGAGCCACAATAGAAAAGATAGCACGAGACATGGGAAATAGATGGAGGCAATTACAAATAAGTCTGTGATGGATGGTTGACATTGTTAGGGCCTCAAGTGTATGTCAGCTTGCAATGGTTCTGCATTCCCCTCACTGCCACTGCTGTTGCCATGGGCAACGATGTGTTGAAGCCAATAAAAAGCACAGGAAACAAGGGAACGCTCAACCTTGGAGGAAGCTGGAGGTTACGTGCTATAAATTATGTCACACTTCGCAGTGCATCGTATCAAAATTCAGGAAAGGTTTATGGAGCTGCCAGCAACCCCCAGTCAATCATGGTATCCGTTTTTTGCCATAAAGCACATATTACATAAATAAGTCTCAGACAAATTCCAAGTATGCCATCCCACCTTTTTATTTATTACTGAGGAAAAAGAAAAGTGGAGGAGGAATAACAGAAACAAGTTAAAAGACTACAAGTATTTATTTTAGACAATAACATAGATCTTCCCTTTCCTTACGTGTCCTATTCCCCCTGGAAAAAGAACAGAGAAGTTCCATCATCTTGTATTTTGTTCAAGTAACATGTTCTTCTAAAATATTAAGAGCGGGGGTAACATTTGCATTATAACTGACTGAAAATGTCACAGAATGGAAAAGCTTTCAACTTCTCCAGAAGACTCATCTAAGTGAATAGTACTAATAACCAGGGTTGGGAGAAAGCTTTTAAAAATGGATCAGGTCTAGTTATGGGATCCATGTATGTCATTGATAAGATAAAGTGTTGTAGAGATCAGATTAGATTATATTTAGGATTCAGATTGTTTGTCATGTTCCTAGAAATACAAAATGCTACTACAATTTCAAAATGGGTGATATAATAAATAATTTGCTTTCTGAATCTTGTGCTTAAGATATTTATGTAGAAGATGGCAGATACCTAGAGTACCTGCTAGAGAATCAGAATTAATTCCCTATAAAGGGAAAAACTAGTTTTTCCATTAAAATTATATTCTATTTGAAGTGTTTTTCAAGACAATCTTGCATTTATTTGAGTCAAGTAGTTCTATGACTCAGAAACTCTAAATTTAATAAATATGTATTATGCAGCTCAGCATGCATTTGCGGCATTCAAAGTGCCAAGATTACTAACATCCAGAGTCAGAGAAGCCACTTTTTCATGATTATACCAGTATTGTTTAACTGAAAAGTAATCAATTTATAGTAGATGTATAACATATTTTAGAGGCAAATGATTCCATCTGCTCTGTTTATGCCAAAGGAAATACCCCTCCATTGTATAAATAGTTCAGTCCACATCTGGGCTAGGCCGGTATCACTAACATTTCTCAGTATGTTCCTTTAATTTCATGCATTTTATAGTTTTTTTAAAAAAAATGAGAATCCCTATTTCGTTATGCAGTTTCATATATATGTACATGTATATATGTGTATATAGTTTCCTGATAGGATTTGGGAAAGGCATATTTTCCAAGTATTTTTTTGTATGCATGTTTGGAACCAAGAAATATTTGAAAACATTTCACATTGGAAGTCCTTTTGCATTGTGACAGATTCTATTTAGGTGAATGCTTTCATTTTAGTTAAAAAAGTAAATAGTGACAGGCTTCACATCTATCCTCAGTGTTTTACCTATACATTATCGTTCAATAGATCTGCACTGTAATTTATACGAGGTTAAGGAAAATATTTCCCTTAATTATTGTTTTGAAATAAAACTCCTGTAAAGCAGCCATTGGATCTTTTGCTTGTACTTTTCCTTAGCAAATAAGTGAGGGATTCACAGCATTTAAATGGTTTCCTGCCTAAATCTTGATGGGTGTAATTGCAAAAATTCCATTACAACAATATATTTAACTTTAGGCTAAACAACTTCATTTCTATTCACTCTGAAAAACTCAATAAAGTTTGCCAGTAGTAAGAAAAAACAATGTTTTAAAATTCCCTCAGAAGTTTGACAAGCATTTAATGACTTCCAGGAGCTATGAAATGAGGTATGAATGGAGAGAAAGAGAAGAGAACATCGGTGTAATTAAGCCATTAGCAGTGTGATTTGAATTAAATTTTGAATTAAAAGAAAAGGCATAGATAAGAGATTACCCGTCCCTAACTATACTATAGGTTTCCTGAGTGAGGAAATGAAAAAGAACCTTTGCAGAACCATTTCCTTCCTGTCTATCTATGAAATGTTCAAGGTTGGAAGTCCTAAACCATAGTGAAAGAGAATATCAAGTCAAATGTTTTTCCATCCAGCTCTCAGGGACATCTGCTTCCTTTATCTACCCTTGAGAAATGTTGGAGAGCCTCGCTACATTTTACATGCTAAGCAATGTGGTGTCCTTTAGGTGTTTGGACCACAGCTCAATCAGCAAGACCATGGTGGTTGTATCTTACAATTTATGGAAGGTGTTGGGTTTCCCATCCTGTACCAGGGCTTAGCAGAGCCAGAGGTTTGGCTACACTAAGAGAAATAGCTTATTTCCACTGCTGAAATTGGGTAAATGATCAGACCTTAGTGCCCTTGAATAGGTCCCCTAAAATAATTACATTGGGCCACTTATTTCTGTTAAATAATAAAATGCTACTGTTGCGGTTGACATAAATCCTCCCCTCCCATTCAAACTCGACACAGAACCTCTCAGATGACATTCAGAATCTGCTGGATCTTGAATGGGAAGCCTTTCAGATATAAGGAAATGATAAAAGGATCCCTCCTTTTATCATATTAGAGCTTTCACTATCAAGCTCCTACCAACCTCAAATCAAGTGATTCAGTTGTACAGCAGATGCAGAGATGGAAGTTGTGAGTCTTCTGCCTTAAAATTATTCTTGTAAATTCAGGAGAGTGCTTTTCTCATCCCAACCAGGATTCTTTGCTATTAAAGAATTATATAAAATTCTGATTCTCTATTATTCTTTTATTCATTATTGTTTCAACTGCTCTCATAAATTGATTTAATCCAGACAGTTTGCCTGATTTCTGATAGCATTATATATATATTTCACTTTTTTCCCTTTAGAAGTCGTCTTTTGTGCGATCTAAATTCTGCAAGTTCTGAAAGGGAAGGGATGCAATAATATTGCTTTTACAAACACCTTCTTCTGTAAGGATTCTTCTAAGTAGCTAGAGATCTTTTACTTCCAAATGATCTTTGGCAGGGGTTTAATAGGGTAGCAGAAATTATAGCCAGCCATCTTCTCTTTGTTCCTGCACTTTGGGATCCTAACTACATGCCAATTCATATGACAAAGGCTGTCATGTTAGGCATGCACATTGTTTGGACTCAGGTGTTCTCAGCTCACAAACCTTTTCAGTAAGTGTTGACTGCGTTGCGGCTGGACATGTGTACAACATCCTTCCTGGGGCAAGCACAATTTATCTATAGACCACCTGGCAATGAGAATGGAATATAGATGTAATTCCACACCTCATTAGGGAATAGAAATCCAGTAACTTGCCATGCCAGTGCTGAAATAAATTTGATGTTTCATTAACAGAAGTGAGTTCATTTCCACTGCAGATATTTTATAAATCAAGGATTGCCAACATGCAAAAAAATAATAATAATTGGAGCACATGCAATGGTGACTTAATTTTTGTTAACTAAGAAAGATTAACATGTGTAAGAAAATAGCTAGAAAAAGCAGAGGTAGTCATTGCTCTTTTCATATTATCATCCAGTGTCGTATCAGACTTAAAAATAATAATTTTCTGAAAATGTACTAGAAAGCTACGTTCATATCCTATAGTGCAAGTTCTCTACCCAAGGCAAGGTTTTGTTTTTGTTAGACAGTTTTCTTGATATACCACTGATTCTCTTCTTAGATGTGCAAAGCAGCTTTAAAAATTAAATTATTACAGGAATTCTAAAAGAAACATGCAGAATTTTACCTTTATATAAGCTTCTGCCTGCAGAGCAATTCAAATTTGGTTGCTAATATGAAATCAAGGAAGCCAGAGCAGGTTTGTCTTTTCAAATGTAATAAAGTTCATTTCCCCTCCCTTAAATACAGCGAAGAGAGACAATTCTAAAAGCCCTGTTGAATCCTACGAGGCTTGTTGTAAAAAAACATATTTCTTCAGAATATAAAGCAGGCATCGCTGAATAAACCAAATAGAACATAAAAGGGGTAAAAAGACAAATTTCACAAGCGCAGGAATAACCATTCATACTAATAAAAGCTGGAAAGAAGCAATCTCAAAATATTTTTACAAAAATTCTCCCTTTTTTCAGAGTCTCTTGAAAATGCTTCAGCATTTTCTTTAAAATCAGCCACAGCTCACTTTTATTAATTTTACTGAACCATTAGTTCCACTTATATGAATCCTTTGTGACCATATTTGCCAATTTTCTTAAGAGTTACTGAAAGAAGCTGACACGATCTGGACTCGGCCAAGCTTTCCAGATTACTGCAAGAACCCAACCCAACGTCTCCCTGTAGATTCTCCCCTCAGACCAAGTCTTGGCCTGTAGGAAAAGCTAAGGCCTGGCCAGCCAGAGTGTTTTCACTGACATTACATATGTTCTTGCCTGCCTTATATTATTGATTAAATACTGTGAGACGAAACGTTAAGCATTCTTTTGACTCTCTTATCCTAGGAACAGGAAACAGATGTAGACTTATTTTATGCTCTCCGGAGACATGGCTAAGTTGGATGTTGTCTGGGAAAGCAATCTTTTCTGGTGCAATTCCTCCCATTTTTTTCTGTTGGCCACCACAGAGTCCAACATAGGCTTCAGTTTTCCATTCACTTTCACTAAGGCCTGAAGAGAAAGCACAAAAGAAGCAATTGTGAATTATTAGTTAAGATGTTGGTTCCAGTTCAGATAAAATGGAATATTTGTTTGGTCTGGTTTGCTCACAAACTCCATGGGAGAGTTGTAGAGCATTTAATAGAGAGTATTCTAGAGCATTTAATGGAGAGTATTGTTGCACAACATATTCTAAAACATTAAAAGAAATTCTGAAGGAGACAGGGGGGACATACCTAATATATCCTGGTGAAAGATGACATAAAGCAATCATTAAAAATGTCTTATCTAAACAAGCAGTTAGTCTCTTATCACATCTTGAGACTGAGGGTGTCAATAGAATACACAGTTTTTCCACTTTATTCTAACGAAAATGGCGAGATAAGTTATGTGAGAGCAATTGGCCAAATATGGTTCAACCATGAAGCCAATTAGGTATTTGTCCAAGGACTCCACAGCCTTAGTCTTATTCTAATCATTGTAAAAAATGAGGATGGGCAACATGTTCTGTATTTGCCCATGGAGTAACTCTCTAGCTGACTGGTAGGCTACAGAAGCCTAGTAACAAAATGTTACTTTAAATGGCAGGGCTGAAGTATGTTTAGCAATTTGGGTGTTTTGTAAGGATGACTTTGGGAGTGTGTAAACCTAACACATGGCCTATATGTTCATGCCCATCCTTAGGTTTTTTTAAATTCTAAAACTGCACTGCCAATGTTTAGGCAATGTCCTGTCAAATTTCAGCCGCCCAATCTCAGAATCATATGGAGTTGCACCCAATCTCAGAATCATATGGAGTTGCAAAGAACTTGGGTCTATGGGCGGCCCAATGACGTGATACAAGTAGGTCTAATGCCTCAGCATGGTTTTTTTCAAAGACTTTCCCCACTTGTCTTCAGTTATGTGTAAATACACAAAATAATCAGTGTGTGAATATGCATGCAGAGATTAAGAAGATAAATTTTGTGAAGTAGGTGTGCCAAGTCTTCTGGACACCTTTGAGGCTTCAGGGACTTTGGAAACTGCCTTTTTGAAATATTTTGCATAGCCCTATGAAATTAAGAGGAACTGGTGGGTTTTGCTTCCTCTGAAAAATTTCCCAACTGCAGTTATTTTTACTTTTACATTCAAAATGACCTAGCTGCATCTACAATGCTGGAAGGCTTGTATTAGGAGTTAAGCATGTGACTCCTATCAAGTAAATAAGGAATAGGAAATAGTTTAAGAAGTTAGAAAGGATAGCCTTCTTAGTCTAAATTAGTGTTTCTCAACGTTATCAAGCATGTTAGCTGGGAAATTCTGGGAATTGAAGCCTAACAATCTTAAAGTTGCCAAGGTTGAGAAAAACTGGATGATATCCTATTAATGAAATGGCTTTATGCACACCAACAAAACCTGCTACTATGGGATTCCGAAATATTCTGGAAAAAATTGTGAGAGAGATCACAATTTAAAGAGCCTTGGTAGTACAGGGGTTTAAGGCACCCTGTTATTAAGCTGGTTATTAAGACCAGCTGCCTGCAATTACTGCAGGGTTCGAATCTCGCCAAGGCTCAAGGTTGACTCAGCCTTCCATCCTTTCTAAGGTAGGTAAATTGAGGACCCAGTTGTGGGGGCAATAAGCTGACTTTGTATAAATATACAAAAGGATGAAGGCTATTGCTGAGCACATTGTAAGCCGCCCTGAGTCTTCGGAGAAGGGCGGCATATAAATCAAATTAAAAAAAAAAAAAAGAGAGGAAACCAATGGTAAATCCATATAGCTTATGAAAAAATGTGTTTGTACAATAGAACTTGGCTTTTATCTAGTGTGATATTCTTTCTAAATATAACTTACTAAAGTAGTAAAAAGTAACTACTTTAGTAGTTTATATGTTTTTATATGATTAATTAGCATATTAGCCTGTTTCTAGTGAAGTGTATTTGTATATCGATTATAATTGTAAGACATAATGGTTAGTTAACTCAACATCATTATTGCTGTTGGCTATTAAAAGTGAATTCAAAAAAATGAAGGAGATAGTTGATTTTCAGTTATAAGTATACTACAAGAAATTAATTGTATAGAACAGTTGTAAGATAATGATGTAACACTATTTTTTTTTTTTGGAATAAATTTTTTTTAATGATGTAACGTTATTAAAATACCGCCATTTGATATACACTTGAATCAGATGGCATTTGGGTTAGAAATACCTCAAAAGGGTAGATTTTATGTGGGAGGCATAAAATGTCTTTATTCAGAGGCTCTTTTGATATTTAAACTCTATTTGTGTATTTTAATTAAGCATTCTACTATACATCTTGTAGAAATTAGCCTTTAAAAATAATCTGGCTACTAAAGCATTAATCTTGGGTTTTCTAGATACAAAATACACAGCCTGAGATATATCAGTAATTTAAAAAATCTTTTGATTACTATATATTTTTGGGGGTTTTTTTTGTTTTGTTTACTAAAACACTGCAATCAACTCCCTTTTATGAAACTTCTGGGAAATTATCTCAAAAGCACCATTTCTCTCCTCCCTGCAGATTCCTTTGACATTTACTAAATTACTTCTTTAGCACCTTTTCACATTTAAATCAATTTACCAATTTATTTACTGGGCCACTTAAATCTTTTGACTTTGGTACAGCTGTGACCTTGTACCCTTTAACACTTCATTCCACACATACAGAATCATGCCCTGTTCTGCCAGTTACAGAGAAGTCCTTTGCTGAGACGTTTTTTATCCTATTTATTCCCTTTAAACAGTTATTTAAATACAAATTTAAAAAGTTTTGGTCTGGTTTAGTCTCCAAAATCTAATATGTAATGGACATTACTGAAAATGCCACACCAACTATTTTTTAAGAATACAATATACCATTGCAGTTTTTCAAATTTATTCCTGCTGACCAACATTTGGAAAGCATAGTAGAAATTATTATTAACAAGGTATTGTTTCTAGCATGCATACAAAAATTAGGTGCTGCTTTGACTCTTGGACTTTTTCTGCAATATTTGTATATTATTTAGTTGTATATATGATAAAGTTTGTGCACAAAGTATCTTATACACCTTTAATAATTTTAATTCTTCCTGTACTATATAATAATCTACAAGAACCTACAGAGGTCAATCCTGCAGAGAACAGCATCCGATCGTTCCCCATTTTCAGGAATTTAAGGGGCAATACTCACAGGGATTATTTCATTGTGGTGAGATCAACTCTTTACAAGGGTCTCCCAACTGTTAGATTAGTTAGGTTAGTTGGATTTTGAAAGCCTCCCCAAATCTGCTCAACCATGCAGCCATATTCAATAGATCTGCCCATATCATAGCCACCTTCTAGAACAGTGGTTCTTAACCTACCTAATGCCGCGACCCTTTAATACAGTTCCTCATGTTGTGGTGACCCCCAACCAGGGGTGGGTTCTAAATTTTTTTACTACCGGTTCTGTGGACGTGGCTTATTTTGTGGGTGTAACTTGGAAGTCATGTGACTGGGTGGGTGTGGCTAGCTGGTCATGTGACCGGGTGGCCATGGCTATGTGTATAGGGACTACTCAGAGGGCTGAAAAAAGTCATTTCTGACAGGTCCTCGCACTTTTAACTGGTCCTCAAACTTATGACCATCCTCACATTTATGCCCGTGCAGCATTCTTAACAACCATGTTACTCATTTCACAACTGCTTCTTTTCACCATGGTGATAAGATAGGGCAAAAAACGTAAAATGTGAGGACAGTCGTAAATTTGAGAACTGGTCAAAAGTGCGAGGACCAGTCAAAAATAACTTTTTCAGCCCTCTGGATAGTCCATGTGCACAAAAGGACTACCCAGAGGGCTGAAAAGAGTGATTTCTGATAGGTCCTCGCACTTTTGACCGGTCTTCGCACTTATGACTGGTCATCATTTATGCCCATTGTAGCATTCTTAACAACCGTGTCACTCATTTCACAACTGCTTCTCTTCACCATGGTGACAAGATAGGGCAAAAATGTAAAATGTGAGGACAGTCATAAGTTCGAGGACTGGTCAAAAGTGCGAGGACCAGTCAAAAATAACTTTTTCAGTCCTCTGAGTAGTCCATATGCATAAAAGGATACAGCAATAGAGAGGGATGAAGGAAGGGAAGGGAAATTAGAGTAGGAGTGAGGGTAAGAGAGGGAGGAAGAGAGGAGGAGAAGGAGAAAGGAAGAGGAAGTAGGGAGGAGAAGAGGGGGGAGGGAAGAGAAAGTAAGAAGGAAAGAAAAGAGAGAGGTGGTAGGTTTGAGGTGAAAGATTGCTGTACAATAAAAAAGATGAAAGAGAAGAAAACCAACCCCAAACAAATATGAAGATATTAAGATAAAGAATGAATGGTTAAACTTTAAAGAATAAAAGAGAACAAATATGAATAAATAGTAATAATTAGAAACACACATAGAAACATACAATGTATTTTCTTTGAACAGAGTATTTGGCCAGTTCACAATTTAAACAGTGTTTAGTCATTTCAATTAAATTTACAATTTCTATATTTCCTTTTTGCCATATTTATTCCTCATCTATTTTTTTTTAAAAAAAATATTACCTTTCATCCTCATCTCTAATCTTAATCAAATTCAATTTTTCCCTTCTATTCTATATTATACCCCTTCCCATTGTCATCTATTTTTATATCCATCCTCACATTGTTTAATTATGTAATTATGTAATACAGTTGTTTAAAACAAATTCAACATTTTAATATAAATCAATTAGTTATAAAACTATCTTTTTTGTATATTAATCAATATGAACATGAATATTCCAATTATTTCCATGCAATCCAATTTCTTACAAATCAATTAATTATATTTACCAATAATAATAAACCAAATAATTTCTTCCATATATTCCTCCAAACCACAACTTAACCATTTCTACTTTCAACCCAATATACAATTAATAGTATCTCAATTATTACAATTCCCTAGTTAAATAGAGCTTTTTTTCTTTTGTGTTTTAAAATCTTGAACCTCCTTTTTTGCCCTAAATTTCCCATT